ATACTTGGCTTTTGTTTCGCTTGACACTTGAAATCGATAGTTTTATTTAAAAAGCATATTTTATCCTTCATACACCCCGATATGCGTCTGTTTTGGCTCCTTGCCTTCTCGAAAAATTGAATTTAAACATGAAATATGAAATTATCAAATTATATGCCAAATTTAAGATGCATTGGTTTTTTTTCGAGATCTCAGCAACCATATACTGGTTTTGTGAATCTATAGAATCTAGAAGTAACTTGATGAAGTCAATGATAGAGAATCTGGAAATGCTTATAGGGTATTCCCATGTACATGTACATATAGCATATCTGAATTTCTGCGTCAACATTTACGTGACGAAAGCAACGTATTTGCAACAAAAGCCGCGCTGTCTGTCTGGACGTCTAGTTCGCCATGTCAGTTACATATGAGAAATGCGCGCAATTTGCAGTAGAGAGAAATCTCCATCCGCCCCTACACATACACCTACTTATGTGCATGTGCAGAACGAAGTTGGCGGGTAAATTTTAATAATTTCAGCATTTTCAACACTTTGAATAAAAATTGTTGCTTTGATGGCAGCGGCAGCAACGTAACTAACAATAAAACTTTTTAGTGTGAAGCGGCACAGAATGGCAAAAAAAAAAAAAAAAGAAATGAAAGAATCGTGAACAGACGGCGACGGCGACGACGACGACAACGGAGCAAAGTATGGGCATATATGAAGTCATAAAGTCATATTAACACGTACGAATGCGCACAGGATATTAATGTGCAGCATAGAGGAAGGATCACAGTTTTTTGTACGCAAGTGGCATGACTTAAATGTTAATATAATTTCATATATTGCGGTTAATTTGTATGATGCAATAGCCACGGCTGCCAAATGCGGAAATGAGTTTTGCAAACAGTTCTGTACCATATTTTTTTTAAACACATAGTATTTCTCTTTTGTGCTGCTTTTCCCGAAAAAACTAATTTCATATAAGACTACTCGCAGCACAAATATATGCAATGTGCAAAAAACTTTATGAATTTTGCAGCCAGCAGCAACAACAACAAAAACTGACCGCAGCGCAAAAAAATTCAATAAACAAAATGCATAGGAGAGCTGCCCCTTTTTTTAAAAAAGCAATCGCAACATTTTGCGGGCTGGGAAACAGTTTTGTTTTCGAATGTTTGTACAAACGCACAAACTTTTACTTGCGGGCTGGCCGAGCAGCCAGTGCGAAGACAGCCAACATATTGGCCAATACAAATGTTTCAGCCACAAATGCCAATACAAGCATATGCAAATACTTATATACATGCAAGGAAATCACTTCGCAGTGGTTGTTTGGTTTCGTATTATTAGGCTGGTTGTGTTTTTTCAGCATTGGTGCCGATTCGCAGTTCTTCATAAAAATATAAAGTTTCTTATTAAAATTTTAATACTATTAATTTTAGTAAAATCTTAACAACTACTTTTAAGGCAAATATATTAAATGTGTTTCAGGCTCATGTTCGTTTTGTAAAAATAATAATACTAATTTTATACATTTCCGCATAAAATTCACAGTATCGACCATATTTAAATATAGTTTTGCAAACCTATGACATCTTACATCGCTTTGAAAACACCAACAGTGCGTTGAAAAAGCGTTTTTCCACCTATTTCTGTGAAGGCTAACCTGGTCGCATTCAGTTACCTTGCTCTATATGTTACGGGTGCTTCCAGTTCCTTGCATCTGTAGTCTGTTGTGATTTCCAGCTTCCTGACATGGGCGGCTTCTAAGTAGTGAGCTGTGAGTAGGCCTGTTCTGAGTCTTCTTTCCTTTCTCTGGAGTTGTAGGAGGTTAAGTGAGTTAAGTGAGTTTCTTGTCTCCACCCTTCCACATTGTTTGGGCGATCTCGCAGTTGGTACTGATTATCGGATAATCATTTATTTCCTTTAACTATATCGGTTAAATATGTAATAAATAATACAACAAAGTTGATTTTAATTGAAGATTACTCTTATTTTTATATAGAAGAATAGACTTTTTAATAACATGTATTTATATAATTTTAGTAAGAATCAACGTTTTGTAATAGCAGATTCAGAATATAAAATATTCGAAATAAATTCCTTTAATATATTACTTAAAACAAATCATAAATGTCTCACATATACGGGTAAAATACATTTTAACCGGAATGAAGTGATCAAAACCAAACAAATATTTCACCTTTCCTTCGAAATTTTATTTTTAATCCACCTTAATATATATACCCAAATATAATACATGTATGTGAGGTTAAATGTATACTATATGAGTAGCAGAATTCGCGATGAGCTTTTCAATCTTTAGGGACATTTTCGAAAAATGATTTTGGTCAAGTGGATGGCACTGACTCTCACACATACTCGTACATAGATACATGCATATGTCTGTGTGGGTCCATGATTGTGCAAGTATACATACATACATATGCATAGTATACGTACATGTATGTATGTGTAGCCGACCACAAATGTGCAAAAACCAAAGGTGGGGAATTGGAGGGTGTCCGCACCAGACCGCGAGGCCACTTATATGGCACAAGAGTCGCACTGCTTTTGTTTTTATACTCTGTACATGAAATGTACAAGAGTATATTAGGTTTGCGGGAGCTGAAAAATGTAACAGGCAGAAGGAGGCGTGGCAGACCCCACAAAGTATATACATTCTTGATCAGCATGACGAGACGAGTCGATCTAGCCCTGTCTGTCTGTCTGTCCGTCTGTCCGTCTGTCCGTCCGTATGAACACCTGGATCTCAGAGACTATAAGAGATAGAGACACCAAATTTTGCACAAAGATGCGTTATGTGTGTATTCTATACGAGTTTGTTTTATTTTTTTGATTTTCCCCCCCACTTCCCCCCTATGGGGGTTTTCCCGATTTTCCATTCGTATAATCGCCTATATCTCGGAGACTATAAGACCTAGGAACACCAAATTTTAGTCCCAGATGCCTTATGTGAATACGCAGAAAATGTATATTTTGGAATTCCCCTCCCTCCCCCCTCTACCCCGCAAATCGTAACTCCCGTAATTCTTGGAATTTCGAACTAAAATTTTGGAAATACCCCCAGTTGGTTATTATGTGTCCGTATGCCAAATTTCATTATGATAGACCGATTTAACAAGAAGTTATAGCCATAAATATATTTGCTGATGCAGCGCTGCTGCAGCGCTGCTCAAGCGCTGCCCGCGGCTGTTGTTGATGTTGCTGTTTGGTTGACTGCGAAAATGCTTACACAGACACGAATAGATGCGCATAGGCATACATACACTCACACAGACGCAATTGCTATGTAAATGTGCAATTATACACCCTTTACGTGAGTTCGAATACCGAGAGAGGTAAAATCGATCAAATTTTTTTTTTTATTTTCTTAATTTTTGTATTTTCTATAATTATTGTAAACATATGTACAGAGTATTTCAAAGTCGGGACACCCGACTTTAGCTTTTTTACTTGTTGTTATTGTTGTTGTTGTTGCGTTTGTTGGCGAGGACTGCAGCATGGCCAACCAATTGCCATGGCAATATATTGCGTATACGTCCAGTGGGCTCTGCACTCCGTTGAAGTTGGTCAAGAGTTTAACATATTTGCGTGTGTATGGCAGAAGGGAGAGGAATCGCACGCTGCTCGCTGTCGCTTTTCGGCGCATTTTTCGGTAAATAAACGAACTGCAACATTTCAAGCACCACCGTTATGGCGCACCACCCCTTTTGGCAGCATTGTCGATACTTCGCCTCTGGCGCTTATGAGTTTTGTTTTGTCAAGTGGCCGTGCGCGGTCATTTCATAGTCCGTTGTTGCCCATTTGTCAGGTTATTTGCACAATTGGGGTATTATTCAAGCTGAAAGCGTACAGTTCGAAATGAAAATTTGTAAAATATGTAAAGTGCCTTTTAAAATACCTACACCAGCCATGTACATAGACATGGGAAATGAATTCAAAGGTATCATCTCACTATTGTAAACATATACGAGTACGAGTAGGTATAAGTTCCTTTACTTTGGCGTACGAACTCAACTTATATACGTATGTACATATATATGTGCATATCTACCAGTAACTCGTTTCAGGTTGAATACCGATACTGATAGAGAACTTTAAGAACGTGCCAAACTTGGCTTCGAAATTAAACTACAGAATCTTATCGAAATTGAAATAAAATGAATCCCCAAAAAATGTTATAGGATTATTGATCATTGTTTGAGAATTGAAGAAATGCTAAAACTGAGAAATACATACAATCGTAGGCTGCTCCAATAGTCTCAAAATGCACTAACTTTTATAATAGACTTCGTGTTTTTGGATAGATTTTTGGTCTTGGTAATCGAATTTTCGAGCAAGCAAAAAATCTTGCAATTTAAAGCGTTTTCTTAAAGTTTACACCTTTTTCCATTTGTTTTTTATAACTTAATTTATATGTATGTAACAAATACCATTTCAATACCGATCCTTGGATTGTAATGGCTTATCCTACTCAGAGCTGAAAGAATTTGCTTGTTGTTGACATTTCATTTAGATATAAGGTGAACAAACCAAACATACATACATACCTCAAATTTACAGTTTGAATGATTGAGTCTTCTGGAAAGTTTCCTAAAACTTTTGAAAATAATTCAGTCTCATTCAGTAATAACCGGTAATATATATTTGTATTAATTCAAATATAATCAAAATAAGAAAAATAAATACTATATTTTTTTATATATTTCAAACAAAGCGTTTCAAAAGATTATTGTCATAACAAAACTAAATATAATAACATTTTCGTAAAATATTCGATTTAAGTAACAAAATATAACAAAAAATATATAAAGAAAACTTGTTCATAAATACTTTATAAAAAAAAGATAGTAACAACTTATTTTATATATCTCTGCAAAAAATATAACACTTATTTTGACTATCTATTAAAATTTATTTTCTGCACTTGCACATAGACTCCATTTATATAATTTAACTAAATTATCGACTAATATAAATAAAATATATTTACTCTATATTATAAATTTCACTTTAGACTTTTGATGCGCGTTAAAAGTAATTTGTTCTGTTGTTGCTATTTGAGTATGTTTGCATTTCATAAGGAACGTTTTACAACTAAGGCCTCGAGGCAAAAAGGCAGCACCTAATACCTAACTTATTATATAGCGTATATAAATATCATGTAAATAGTAGCTGCTAGCTGATCTAGACCACCAATAGCATAACATACGATTATTTTGCAATGCGTTTAGCAGTACTGAACTATTTTGAAAAGGCCACACACAACCATAGGCAAGCATAGGGATATCGCATATAGTTCTTAGACACTGACTTTATAAACAGAGGTACACAATTCAACGCTTTGGTAAATATGACTAGCTCATTACAGATTATGAGGTTAACTAAGTTTCGTGTGCACCTTTGTGCACAATTTTTGAGTATTGGGTTAAAAATATCTTTAGTGTTGCACTAAAAGCTAATAGCTGGGGTATTGGTACATATCATCCCAATTAGTTGAGGATTCACTGTATAGCGCACACAGCGGAAGCACCACTGTATTGATTATTCAGGCGACGTCGCATGCCCTCCAAATAAATATCTCGATTGAACAATCCTGCAGCCAGAGGTATGCTAAAAATACAAATTAAAAATGGCAATAAGTAAAAATGCTTAATAAAAAAGCACTTATATCTTCTGTTGTAATGTATTTTAAAGAACTACTTACGCATCAGTGCCGGCGCGTATAAGCGTTCGAAACAGGGCCCACACAGGCTTGTGATCAGACGTAGTTATGGAAGGAACCGAATCATACAGCAAGCATTGCACATGGGGTTGGGTGGGCGTCGAAACGCCGGGCACCGTGCTCTGACGACGTATGACCAGACCCTGAACCTGCCTATATTTATATAATATACGATCAGTGTAGGCTGGCGCACGTTGCTTGGACGAGGTATCGAAGTGTTGAGTGCCTGGATCATACTGAAAAAATATATGCGTGTTTAGTCAAAGGAGGGCCCAATGTCATTGTTTGGCAGTTACCTTATAAGTGGGTGGAAATGTTATGTTCGCTTCCATGAAGCCATGAAAAGCTGCACCCTCAGCCAGTACTGAGGATAATTGATCGGTATGCATATATCCGTGAGGCAAATGTGAGGGCAGCGGAAATTTTGTGTTCTGTATCCATTCTAAAAGTTTTTCCCGCGGTTCGGCTAATCGAAAGTTTAAATCGCCACACCAGAAAACATTGTCGAAGTTTTGTGTGACATCCTTGTTCTTGTGACGCAAATTAAGGTTCTTGGGCAGATCCAAGTGATGTATAATGCGCTTGACATCCGAGACGCGCTCCTTAACCTTCTGCTGATGTGCCGTCAGGTGAGAGGTGACAAATAGCATGGATGTTCCAAAAAGGCAAAACGAAATAGCCACAGCTCCTTTGGTACGAAAAGCGGATCCTGTGCGCACAGACATGGACGCATCCTCGGGAGCCGAGCAATACCAGATGAGATCGCGTCGCATATAAACGGCCAAATGTAGTGTACCAAGTACAGTGGAGTGGAAGAGCACATGGGACGGACCAAGGGTCTCCTGAAGCGTTGCTTCCCACTCAAAGCGATCAGGGCTTGACTCCTGGGTACCAATGGCCACAATGTCGGGCACGTGCGTTATATTTGCCGGTAGTACAAAGTCATTCATTTGTCTGCAAAGAAGTATTTAGTAATTGTCAGAAACATGAATTATACATTTATTTAAACAGAATCGTAACCCAAAAGGGGCCTCCTCAATTATTAACCAATTCTTGGAAGAGTTAGACGAACAATCTCGATTCTTAAGGTTTTTTAATGTATATCAAAAAATGTAGCTGCCTGTTTTTATCTAATATTTCGAATTTCCTCAAAAGTAATTCCTCACTGAATTAATTAATTTTAATTGTATCGTGAAGGCAAACAGTTAATTTGCTTCTGTTCTCGAATGTTTGGAATCTGTAATGTGTAAAATTAAAGTAATTTGGCTCCGGGCCTCCCTGTCTCATTTTGGATAGAAGGGGCTTGGAATGAAACTCACTTTGGTGGACTATGCCCATTCATGTTCCAACTGCCAACAAAGCATGTAACCTCCATTTGTGGCAACACACGAGCCAATTCGCTGGGGCCAAGGAGCGATGACGAACCCAGGCGTCCGTCCAGAAAGCTACGTTCACGTGCTTGCTGTGCTGGTATGAGATTCAGCAACTGAGCGGCCACCAGGGCTTGTCGCGCTAAATTAGAGCCTGAGCCCTGACGCTGCAGTGTCATATTCTCGTGCGACATGAAACGCACATTTGGCTGCTCGCCACGCATGTGTTCATCGTCATGCACATCATCAGGCTGGGTAGCAATGTTTGGTGAGGACATGTGCTGCGGTGTGGTTGCGCGTTTAATGTCTGTCGCATTGTCGGTTGAGGCATCTGAAGACCCGTTCAAGGGCGCCAACTCTTTTCCCGGCGGATACAGCTTTAGACGCAGACGCGAGCGACAAGCGGAGACGGCGATGGGACGAATTGGCGCACGATGTAGTGTATCGCTCTTGATTGATGAACTGGACGGTGAGCTGTGGGCGTTTTGCGCAATTGCCGCTGCGCCACATTGGGAAAAGAAGGTCTTGCTGGCCACCGGAGATTCCGGTGCACTGGCACATTCACTGGACGGACGTTGCGCACGATGCAGCTCTGGCAGTTGATACGAAGTGCCGCCATCACTTGAATGCAACGAACCAGTATTATTGTCTACCATGCTCCAACTCAAGGAGAGGTTGTCGCGACGCAACACATTGCCAGCTCCAGCATCTGGTATGGAATTGTAGCGAACAGTGACTGGTGGTGTCATAGGCTTTTTTTCTGCCTTGCAGCATAGACTAAACTGATGACTGAAGCGATTGTGATTCGGGGATCGATGCTTAGGCGATTTGCGACGCATTACAACATCTGCGCCACCATCACTTTGCGAGCCTGCATCAGCGCTATAGCGATGCAGGTGATCTTTGCTCTTAGAAGTGGGTTTTGTGCGTCTGTGAAAGCTAATCAGACCACTGTGCGATTTTTCTAGTGAGGTGCCAACGGCGGCAGCTGCGGCACTTGTGTGATTTCCATGCACAGCAGCAGGCAAAGTTTGACTCTTGTGATTGTTACCAACGTGATTGGAACTTATTCCTTGATCCGTATTGCATTTGGCAAAACTAACATCGTATTGGGCGCATGCTGAGGCTGGGCGTCGATGCACGCTGGGTGAGTCCGGTGATATGGGATGTGGCTCGACTTTGCTGGGGCGTTTGCTTAACAATCCAAAGAGGGTGCTGCCACTTTTGTGGGCGGAACGTGGACTGTTAGTGGCGCTGGTGATGCGCTCTTCGCTGCCGGCGCTGCTTGGCTGCATTTTAATGCGTTTCTACAAATAAAGAACAGTTATTTAATGGCTGTGTCTAAGCAGTTTGCGGCTAGCTCTTACCCGTGCTTGTGTGTCCAGTCGTATTTGAGACTCCTATGGTTATATATACTCACATTTCTTGGGTTTGCATTTCCCTTAAAGCTTTCAAAAGTAAACGTGTGAAGCTTTACATATTTTATTAGCTAGTTTATCACTGTCATTGCTCTAATTGTGCTCATCCCCACTGTGCGCGTTTGCAGCTCTGTTGTCATTTATGAGATTTGTACGGAGCAACGCTCGTTCTTCTTGCTCACTGATGTATTAATAGTTGCGGCAGACAGCTGTGACTGGCTGGCTAGCTGGTTGTAAGGCCAAGGCGCGCCGGCAACGACAACATCTAGATAAACGTCATCGAATAATGCAAATGCCACTGTTGACTTCTCTGACTTTTTGGTCTGCCTGCTGTGCTCCCTGCGGCCTGTTGTTTGTTGCTTAACGTAAATAGCCTTCCGCAACGCCTTTACTTTTGTGCATTTGATGACGTACTGCATCAAAATCTTTCTCCTCCACCATTCTCTATGTCTGTCCGCTGGCTAATTGGGCTGTTTTGCTTTGATCATTCCTTGGGGGCGGCCAACTGCAAATTGTGTATGCATTTCAATTAACATTTCATTCTTTTCTTAGCTTTTATTTACCTACCTGTCGCATAGTCTGTGTCCGCTAGGGACTTCATTATGCGCGGCACACGGAACTGCAATCTGAAAATCAAACAAAACATAAACTCAGCAATCAGTGGGAGAAAAAAATCAATACATATAACAATAAAACTCAGTTGCGCGCGATGCTTTCCATAATAGGCCAACCCAGGGACAACCACCCCCCACAAATGGGGTAGATATGGGGATGGGATGGGGTTCAATAAAGCGACCAATGTTGAGTCACAATACATGATGCCTGGACACTTGTGGGGGTGGAAGTCTTTGCAAAAATATTAACGTGTGCGACGTAACGACTTTGGCATCTGCAAAACTATGCTGTGGCGCCCACGCAAAAAAACAATAATAACAGCGGGCACCATTGATTTGCTACTCTTTATGTTGGATTTATAATTAGCAGCCTATTGTTGCCGCCAAACGTTTGCACATGCTCGCCTTGCCTTGCGTTGCCTTGGGGCCTATGCTAATATCTGACGATGCCCCGAACGTCAACCAAAACCAACAAAAACAAAAAAGCACGGCGGTCAAAAGGAAAATTCAAGTTCAGGTTCAGGCGCAATAGTTGTGATTCACCAGCTGCCGCAGGCACACCCACCTCAACACGCACTTAATTCTGCTCGGATTTATGTAATATATTTTTTACAACGCCCGACGAGTTATCAAAGCGCGATTTATTAAGATCTGTCTTCACATAAGCTTTTATTGTTGCGCTCAGTTCTCACGATGTGCACACATGTCCGCCAACGATATGCCACTAGGGATGTAAAAAGAACCAAATATGAAACATCAATTTGGAATATCGATATTTGCAGACAAATTCATCGATATTTCTCGATGAAAGCTACTAATCTTCGATGCATCGAAACTGCAAAGAAACGTTGTTCAGTGTATCGAGATTCAATTATAAAAGCGTCTCAGACGCCTGCTTATTAAATATACAACTCATAATTCAGGCCATTATATGTATTAGAGTTTCTTTTTGAAATGGAATTTTAACAATTGTTTAACCTATTTATACATATGGCAGCACCATTTCACAGACCTTATACAATTTTATATTTTTAAATTTTAATTACACAAACGACTATATTTTCTAATGTAATTTGAATACAAATTAGTAAAAATGTTTTTTTTTATATATATACTGCTTGAACATTGTATTTACCAAAGACAGTTAAGGATTTTTTGATTAAGCAAAAAAACGAGAAATACATATGTTATATTTTAAACGTATCAACATCGGTAAAATATATTTTCATATAATTTATCGACATAAATTGATGGTTGTTGTCAATGGTTATAGAAATGCTAGTGATTTAAAGAACTTAGTTCCTCAAACGACACCAAAAGTACACAAGCTTCTCGCTATCGATATCGCGCGCTCGTTATCGTTGTCTAGCTATCGAGGTAATGCGAACTCTCAGTTGTTTTTTGAGTCTATCAGCGGGTGGGTTGTGCTGTCGGACACGCGCCTTGACATTGCGGTCGCATATCTTGGGGTATAAAAATAAAAGTGTAAAAAGCCGCTTAAAAATAAAATCTGGACGAATAAAATGGCAGCCCAAACTATACTTTTCGACTTCACGTTGGACACCCTAAAGACTGCCGATGCCAAGCAGAGGCAGGAAGTTGTGAAAATCGTGCGTAATGAGCTGGAGCACGTTTTTCCCCAACTCGAATTGGCCTATCAACTATCTATGGAAGATGGCTATTTTGCTGTCCTGGAGGAGAATAAGGATACCATTATAACTTGCCGCATCTTTCAACAGGGCTTGCTAACTATCAATGTGGAATATTATCTGGCCGATGGCAAGGAGCCTTTAATGTCCTTTGATGTATGTAGCAATACTTAATAGCAATTATCAGAGATATTATTTCATTTCTTGCTCATATATCTCTTACAATTACACTCCTGTCACACACAGACATAAATGGAATAGTTCCGCTGCCGTTTGGGGAAAAGGGGTTACAATTTTCATTGTCAGTGACAGCGGCAAAATTGATTTTCCACATACATGTGTGTGTGCGTGTGTTTGGCTGTGAATATTTGTTGTGGGTGCTCGTGTGCGTGTCAAGGCAAGCCACCCACACTCAGCTGTCGTCGGCACTTCGTTTAGGACGTGTGGGCGTGGGCGCAGGGGTGTGTCACTTGCACTTGACCGTCTTTCCGCATGTCTTTGGCGGCTACGTTGTGTTTGCTTGCGCCGAGAACTTGGTCAGGGTCATGTTGCAGCAAACCTGCCATTTGTTGCTGTTGTTGTTTTTACCTCTTCATCATTTTCTAAGGAGCTCAGCAAAAGTGCTGACACCGTCGAAAACAATAGTATAGGGCCTATTATCTAACAGCTCACATGTTTTTATTTTTTTCCGGCAACGAAAATGTTCAATTTTTTACACTTTCTCTATTAGCTTATGAATATATTTTCGTAAAAAAAGAGTTCAACCACCCTTTTCATTATAAATACTTAAATATGTGTTTGTTTATGATTAGTTAATCGTTTACTTGCCAAACTTACCGCGTATGGCGCTCTCCAGATCTCGCTCTCTTTTATTAGCCCCACGTGGGGCCGATGTACCACCTATGTGTGCATGTGTGTGTTTGTTCCACATGCTTTTGTTATCACGGTGTTTACTACATACATACTTGGTAGAAAAAGCTAACAGGTATAGCCCTGCAGGACCGTTATTCACTGTTCTCTTCGTTTGGCATCCCACGATGCTCCATATTTCATTTAGCACAAGATAATGGACAGCTGCATCCAAAGTTAGCCTTGTAGCAGTTGAAAACTAAGCAGACGTTTTATTTAGACAGGGCAATTCTAGGTGACGTAAATACGTCATTTTAAGCAAGTGAAAAAGTACATGTGACAATAGGTGCTTCTACGTTTTTTATGACGTAGCTGCTCAGTGAGAGTAAATCGATTTAATGCTATACCTTTCTCTGTTTTTACCATGGAACCTACTACTCACACTCTCTCTTAAATATCAACCAACCCGTTTCATTGACTAAAAGCTGTGGCGCTCTTCCACCTCCTCTCATATTTCCCCAAGTCAACTGCAGTATGTGTATGCACATATGTACATACGTATGTATGTGTGTGTTGGTCGTCATGCTGCTTATTGTTTATGCTGCTTTAATCAAATGTCACTTTTGTTTATATTGCTTATCGCTCATTGCACTTTTGCCGGCATTTCGTTTTGCTTCACAACTTGCCGATTCTTGTTTTGATACTTACATAAATAAATATGTACGCGTGTGTGTGAAAGAGAGAGCGCTATTGGCCTTCAGCATTCAAGGCGAAATTAAAAAAATATTTTTCTTGCTTTATAACAAATCATATGATGTTTTATCTACATTCATACATATGTATGTATGTACAAAAATATTTCGCAGAAAAATGTGCAATGCACATTTGAATTCCTTTTTAAAATTTGCTTACTTTCCTTTTTCATATGCATTTACAATTGAAACTAAAAATAGGTGCTCGCTGGGTCTTTTTTTGCGCGGGCTGTACAAAAAGTTTTCAGTTAAATCGGTATCAATAATTTTTGTACTCGATAAAAATCAAGCATAAATGCTTAATATGTAACAAACAAAAATATAACAAATAATTTAATTGGGGGAAAAAACTAAACATAATGGCTAATTTTACCCTTAAGTACAAATTTATATATTTATTTTAAATGAAAAGGATACAAGTTTCTTTCTGTATTTCTCTGTATTTTTAAAATCTAGAGTACATACATACATATATTTTATATTGTATGCCGAAGCATTAGATTGCCAAAAATATTTTCAGTGACTTGCTTATTTTTTCGCAAATAGTTCATTTTCAATTCGTCATCTTATTTGGTTTGTTTCATAATTATAAGTTAGCATAAAATAAAGCGGTTTTAATAAACTTATATTTCTCTCTATGTATGTAAAAATAATTGCAGACCATGCGCACAATGGAATTAATTTTGCGTCAAAAATTAGATTCCGATCGATCCAAATATTTGCCGCCAATTAAGCGCGGAGGATATATTGATATATACATGACTAGCTCAGGTTGGTCAAACAGAATTGCAATATATAGTTTTTTTTGCTAGTTCCATTTGCAATATATACATATAGTTATAAATATATTAAATATATAAGAAACATATTGGGTATATTCCTATACCTCCTCTCTCTATATCGCTCTCTTTCTCTCTCTGTCACCCAAAAACTTAATTGCAACAAACTTGAACCTAAAATGCAAGCATTTTCAAAAGTATTCAATTGTCTAATTAGCGGCAGTATATAAATAAAAAAAAAGAACTCATCCACCATCAAGAATTGGTCGAAACGCACGCGCCCACAGTGCCAGAACCGGGTGCTATCAAATTTATCAAAGCCATCAAATTTATCTTTATTCACACCAAGTTGTACAAATTGGTTTGCAGCCTAGCATTACCTCTAGAAAAGTTGATCAAAAAAGCTGTTCTCGCATGCTTGTTGCTTCGCTCTAGCCAAATGTGCCAAATGCCGATTACCATTATATTTTTACTTATATATATTTTTGTTTTCAACTAATTCTCAATTTATTTGACTTAATTTAAAATTTTATTTTCATATTACCGAAAACTCTGTATCAAAATCAACACAACGTCCAAATGTCTTCTCGTTTTGTCATCTCTGCATCATCAACAAAACCTTTTACTTCAACAACACAACGACTCCATCATGGGCAACACACGAATTTGACGCTACATCAAACCAAAATGTCCTCTCTATATATAAATCTAAACCAAAAAAAAATCCAAATTTCAATTATTCGTACGTCCTGTGCACATCTCTCACCTGCCCGCCTCGCTCGTACGCTCGCTCGCTCTCATATGGTATCGACAACAACAACAAACACCTCCTCTTCATATCAAACTCCAACAACTACAAAAAAAAAACCACCTACGTAGACTGGAAAGCGTCTGGAAAATACCCTAGCCAAGAAGCTAAAAGCCTTGACGGGTCAGGTGCTGCCAACTTTGAAGCGCGGCGATCTCGCTAGGTATTTTCCATCGTCAGGTAAAGTACATACATCTATGATATCATATCAAGACTATCCCTATCGCAACTATCATAACTAATTAGTTCAGTATGTGTAGCACTCTTCGGATGTTGATGTTAACGGTTTGTGTCTGATATCTTGTTTATTAGCAGTTATATATTAATTTCAAACACAATTATTAATCAACGTTCATTGTATTTATGCAAAATAAAAAATTTGTTTGCGATTGCTCAGTTTTAAATTCAAAATAATCGCTATATAGTCAACCCAAATACTTTTAAATAAAATAAATAAATATTATATATTACATCAACAACATACATATGTAGCTTAAAACCCGGGCGCATATTCCTTATAAATGATGTATGATGTAACCATCTAATTTAATAATGTTACCAATTTTGAATTATTTTAAGCGCACAGCTTAGAAATTAATTCTGTTTCTCACATCAGATCAATTCCTTATGTTCCCATAACTATTATATACAAGTAAGTATTGATTCTTTTCGAGTATCTGTAAATATATTCATTAAAAATTAGTACTTGTTTTGAAACAGCAAGAAAGAGATAAGTAAAAGTAAAGCTAACGATTTTAGACACCTTTTAATTAAGATACTTCTGTGAACCCAAATAGCAGTTATGTAATCTCCATAGTAGATAAATTTGTTCTTTTTGGAAATTTTTATTTCACAGCTGAAGAATATATTTTTAAAATTATACCTAAGGTCTTTATGATTACATCTTTATTAGGTGGTAATTAATTATACTCGGGGTTGACTATATAAAGCGATTACTGTAATGCTGTTGGATTGGAATTTTTGTTTTTTAAATACTGTTTCAACTTAATATTGTGTAAGTTTTAATTTTCCAATACATATTGATATGGTACACTTTTGAATATTTAATAACTAAACAACAATATAATTGATCTGCTTAAGTGTTTAGCTAACCCACGTTGCCCTTCTTTCATTCACAGATGAGCGCATTATTGAATACGATATTGATTCGTTGGTCTATGAAGCGCGCTCGCCCTTTCAGAAGATACAAATCATGCACTCGAAAACCCTTGGCAATATGCTAATTTTGGATGAATTGCAAAGTAAGTACACATACCCTCACATACACACACACACACACACGTTTGGGCGTATAAAATGTACTTAAGGAAATCACGCCCGGTGAATCGATTAGAAACCCCCCAACTGGGCAGAGCAAACCGTGTGACTGTGGGCGAGAGCTTGCTAAATAAGTTGCTAATCTAAGTTCGTCAGAGGACTAATTCTTAAGTCTGAACTAGATCATTTTGAGATATCTATATATCTGAAAATTTTGGTGGTTGCCAAATACTGTATTAGTAATTTGAAAATGATCGAAGAAAAAGTGATTTGGAGTCGCTAGATTAAATTATAGATGGGCGGTCAGTGGGATCTTTGGTGTTCTAACGTATCTCGATATTACATGCTTTAGTAAGAAGAAAAATTAAAACCTGTATTCCTAAAAACTCAGATTATTCAACTTTAGACGACATTTCGGTCCCATGTTGAGATTTATACCCTTTCCACGGAAAACGCTGCTAAACCTTTTTAAGAAAAATGTCAAGAAATTATGCTTTGAATTACTTCATTCAATTTCTTTATTAGAAACATGAAGAAATATCATCCGCTTTCCCTTGCAATACGTATCATCTGTGAGTATTGATTATTATTTTTGATCATAAACTTATACTTTCCATCCCATGGTGCCATGCGGCAACCACGCCATGACACGTTCGCTGTGAGCGTGGAAGGTCAAGGTCGGCTGTCAAAATAGGCAAAATTTATGTCAGTGTGGAGGAGATGTTGCACTCCAACCAGGTCTCACTGAGTGTGTGAAAATTGATTTTTGGTTTTTCTGTATGTGTATTGTTAAGTCATTTTCTTGTTTTAAACTTTTGCAGACATTGCCGAATCCGATTTAATCTATACGGAGACTTTGATGGGTCGCGGGATTGAGAACTACGAGGGCAAGGAGATCTGCATTCTGGGAGGGGGCGACGGAGCGCTGCTCTACGAACTGCTCAAAGAGAAGCCCAAGCATGTAGTTATGCTGGAAATCGATGAGTTGGTCATGCAGGCCTGCAATAAATATCTGAACTCGATTTGTGGCGATGTGCTGGAGAAACGCAAGACCGATCAGTACGAGATTGTTGTTGGGGATTGTGTAGAGTATATGAAAAAGTTTATTGCCGAGGGCCGCAAGTTCGATTATGTATTTGGCGATCTAACTGATATACCCATTTCTGGGGCACCAATTGGCGAATGTTGGGACTTTATACGCACCATATTGGAGCATTCGTTTATGTTGCTCAAGCCGGATGGCAAATACTTGACTCATGGCAATGGCACAACTTGCTTGGAATCGCTGGAACTATTCGAGGAGCAGCTACGCCTACTAAAGCCCAAAGTAAAGTTTACAACGTCGAAGGCGTTTGTGCCGTCGTTCATGGAAGAATGGCTTTTCTATCAAGTGACCTTCGCTTGACCAGCTCAAGATGATGAGGCGACAGAGCGACGACTACGCAGAGGACAACAACAGCAAAAATCGAAAATAATCAGAACAACAACAAAAGCAGAAAAGTGTCTTCATATTGCTACTTCTTCCGGTACACAACAGCAAGATCGCACACCACCCGCACCCCAACACAATGAGGAGCTTCAACTTGAAGTACAGGAGCCACTTAAATTGCACTGCTATACTGTGATGTTGCATGCAGCAAAACAACAACAACAACAGCAAGAACGGCGACGTCAGAGACGCGTACACTACCATCATCATGCGCTTGTTTCTTAGTGGAGGGCAGGACTAAGATGACGACAATACGGACACCATCACCACCATCATCACCCCAAAAACACACTTCTAATGGCTGTTAATTGCGTCTTCAGCAAATCAAACCAAATATTTAGCTTCAATTCATTTAATTTAAGTTAGCACTTAGTTGTTCCCGTTTTTCTCTGTCTGTTGATTTCGCAATATGTCCTCATCACTTTGCCGAAAAAAGAAAAAGATAACTTAAGTCGAAAGTGAAAAAATATCAGACAAGGTATTAGATTACCAGTTTTTATTTTAAGCTAAGTTGTTGGACTTAGGCGAACTGGAATTAAACTGTTATGTAACTTCATTTTACTTAAATTATGTCTAATCATAAAACGTTTACAAATTATTATGTGTAGTAATTATGTTTAGTTTTTTTTCCATTTAGAATGTGCTCGCTCGCCGCGTACGTGTAGAGATGAACGTGTGGGAGGAACGTAGCAGGCAGCAATATCATATGCATTAGTATATGCAATTACGAGTATATGCAAATTACCGCAAAAATGTCACTTGATATGTTTTAAAAATAAATAATAGTCGTACGCAAAATCGAGTTTACATATGCACATATGGTTTGAGGGAAGGCATACATACAATTAAAATTTACACTACAAAATAGAGCTATTCCCAGACATTTTATTATTGCGTCTATAAATCGACGTTAATTTTCATTTAATATATTTTGTTTCAAAGAGCCAAAAATTGTACATACACAATTTTGTAGATTTTTTAAATTAGGTGGCAATATATAATAATTATTATTTTCAGAGGCACGTATATAAACGCTTCATACCAATTCTAAATTTTTGACATCGAATTATATAAAAGAAAAAATTCAAGCACTTTCTGATCCAAAGCTTATATGTATATACGATTGCCTATACATATATAGGCATACTAACAAACGCCCTTATTCGGTTTCAATATCTTTATATAGATAAAATAGAAAATATAGTTTAATAACTTCCAGTCGGACTGGTTACGATGCTGGTCTGACGTGCCTCTTTCCGCTTAAGCCTCAAGGTTATAAGACAATTAAATTCCGAATAGAGGTCCACATTTAATAATAAATAGTTTTTAACCAAATTCGAATTCAAATATTCGTCAAAGAGTGCGTACACACTGCTTTATGCGTTATCAAAAGGAGTGCTGCTAACTTGTTCTGTACAGCTAAGTAGGAATGGGTATTTTGTATGTCTGATTGGGGGTAACACTGTGGTGCTTTGGCACTTTCTCAAAGTTACGTTAGCAATCGTTGGATCGATTCACGCAAGAATGGAGCGGAAATTACACAGCGGCATTCACCACCCCACGTTGCGACTGCTGCAGGAATGTGGTTGTGAAATATTGCCTCACAATCTAATGTACCCCGTGTTCATTATCAGTGAAGACGATGATGTGCAGCCAATTAAAAGCATGCCGGGCATATCCCGCCTGGGCATCAACAAGTTGCGGGAACACTTGGAGCCGCTGGTTGGGAAGGGACTAAAAGCGGTGCTGCTGTTTGGCGTGGTGGAGAGCCCAATGAAGGATGAGCGAGCCACACATGCGGACTCCGACAAGAATCCTGTGGTGCGTGCCTTGCCCAAGCTGCGCGAATGGTTTCCCTCGCTACTCATTGCCTGTGATGTTTGCATCTGTCCGTATGCGGATCACGGCCATTGTGGACTGCTCGACGAGTGCGGACTACAGAATGCGCCGAGCATAAAACGTATTGCAGAGATTGCAGTGGCCTATGGACGTGCTGGTGCTCATGTCGTGGCGCCCTCGGACATGATGGACAATCGTGTAAAGGCCATTAAACAAGCGCTTATTGATGCCAACCTGAATAGCGTGTCGCTGTTGGCGTACTCCGCGAAATTTGCCTCGAATTTCTATGGACCATTCAGGGAGGCGGCGCAATCCGCGCCTGCCTTTGGAGATCGCAGATGCTACCAGCTGCCTAGTGGCTCCAGAAATTTAGCCATGCGTGCCGTGCAGCGTGATGTTAGCGAGGGCGCGGACATGCTGATGGTGAAGCCAGGAATGCCATATTTGGATATTCTGCGACAGACCAAAGACACTTACCCCTATCACACGCTCTACGTTTACCAAGTATCTGGGGAATATGCCATGCTCCATCATGCAGCTAAGGCGGGCGCATTTGATCTGCGTGCTGCCGTGCTGGAAGCAATGAAGGGTTTCAAGCGTGCTGGCGCTGATTGCATCATTACTTACTTCACGCCCTATCTGCTGGATATAATTAACGAAAAGGAGTGATTGACAAGTGTACTTAAGCCTAGAGTAGTATAGGCAACAATCGAGAGCAATTAATCAGTCCACAAACTCCTCTTATTAGAGTTAAGGCAAAACAGTGTTAATATTTTTAAAAAGTTTCGTTCAATTGCTTAAGAGCTTCAAATCGTTTATGTAATGCGTTTGAATTTTGTTTACTTATATGTTTTTTGGTATTTCTATTCGTCGTTCATGTATATATGTATGTATGTACATACATACTGTATGTATGTATGTACATACATACTGTATGTATGTATGTGCGTACTTCCAGTAGCAACAAATTATTCATTGAGCTGATAAAGTTTAACAAATTTGTAAGTCTAATGTCCAGACGTCACAATTCGTTGCCGGATTTGGCATTCAAATTACTGCGCTCTCCAGAAGCACAATAGGTCTTTAAAAGGGTATATGTATGTTTATATACATTTTATAGTTAGGTACATAGTATGTATATGAAGACAACGGTTACATATGATAGTGTGGCTATCAATATATAAACAAGCTTAGTATATTTTTTACACCAATAGTAAAGCGAATTTCACAACAGACTTGCGTGTATTTATTAATTAACGGTATTGTTAATGGCAACTGGTCGGGCCAGGGCCAAACCACATAGAAATGCAATGGGTTAATGTTTCTTGTGTGTGATATAAAAAAATTAGCAAAAAAAAGACATTTCACCATTATTAATTGAACAATCGCCACCAAAATATTATCAAATTAAATGTTTTTTATTATTAAATTGGATCTATGGATTTCTTTATGTTGAATTTGTTTTAAAAATATATTTCCACCACTTAGCACGACAATTACTTTCAAAATGTTTCCTAAACATTGTTGCTGTTTTAATTTATACCTAAAGTCTTTATTAAAATTCCACCTTAGCAGCGAAATTAAATAATTACTTTTGTCAACTAGTATGTAGCGGCATTTTTTGCAAAAGACATAATTTCTTAACTCCGGGGAGCAATCAGTAAAGGATAATGGTATGCTTAGAGCGATTAATTGTTTAATCATTTCCCTATGAAGGTTTTTATTACTCTTGTACTTGAGTTAACGCCTCATCAGTAAGAAGCCAAATCCTTATTTAAACATAAACTGACTCTTAAGTTTTAAAATCAAAATAAGTACCCAAAACTGCTTTAAATACTTCAAATATAAAACATGGTATTGAACATTTATTAAAAACTGGTATACCCCCTTTGACCCCTTCGAATACTGGGTACACAAAGGAAAACAGTGTAGTGTTTAAAACCAATATTTATATTTGCAGTTAATTGTTGTTTTATACTTATTTTAATTCGATATGAAGCGGCTTAACTACGAAGAGTAAAAAAAAAACGAATTTAGATCTTGTTACGAATGTTTAAAAATTTCAAACATCTTAAACGAGCCTTATTATGATTACTTTTCAAAATTTTAAATTAATTTATAACTCAGCATTCTTAAAGATGCAAACAATCCGAAGTGCAGAACATTAAAAAGAGGGCATGTTGCAAAAATTAGTATAACTTGCTTGAAACTTCAAGTAATGGCGACTGATCTGCAAATATCAAGACTTCGATCTGAACTGAACATTTTGCTTATTTCCAATGCACGTAAAAAGGGAATAAATTAAAAAGAGCTATTGCGTGGTGTCAAATAAAAGTTTCCCGAATGTGGGTCAGAGGCAGTTGCGTGACTAGAAATTAAGTAAAACGCAATCCTTTGATATATTTGATAACACTTTAATGAATAAATATACAAATGTTTAAGGTTTGCATTTCAGTGACAACGAATTCTGCCTACAGCTTACAAACTAAATTTAGTTGCTTATGCCAATCAGCTAAGGATAAGTCTTGAGAACTGAAATAATCACAAAATAAAATGCATTTAAGTACTTAAAACAAGGACTACACACAACGAAAGGGCAATGTCTTTTTAAGGAAATCGAACCATTAAAATGTTGGAATAAAATGCATGCACTTGGACCGCAAAGACAAGGCTTCAAATTTGAATATATACGATATATAGTATATATACTGTATGTGTATGTGCGTTAGCATGTGTGAATAGAAGATTAACAAAAACTTATATTAAGGAATCTATAACTGCGTTTATACGAAGTTCATGAACAGTTGGGGCGCCTTTTTGCCAAGGATTTTAGTTTTTATATATTCTATCGGATATACATATGTCCTGACTTAGCTATAAAATTGTAAATAACTAGTTTGGACCATCTGTGTGGGGGCAGGAGTAGTTACTTTAAGTTGATATCAGGAAACGAAACCTGAATTCATGAATTTCGTTACTTCGTATAAACTAACTTCAAAAAATATGTTGTGTTATGTGTAAGTACATGTATGAATGTAGCGAATACTGTGTAAGATACTTGAACTTGGTGCTACTACTAATGCTCGATTTGAGTCGCATATATTCAATTGGTCTCGCTATTGTTTATCTTGCTGTGCTCCAATATGTCAGTATTCTGCATGGGCTCCAGATCCGTTTCAGATATGATCTCGGCCAGCCATTGCTCGATTTGCACCGGATGAAACGTATCCTCATCGCCGCTGTTGGCCTCCAATATGATCTTCAGATTCTCAAAGTTCTTCAGCACCAGACGCTTCCCTGGTTGTATGTTCGACGACAGGGTAGAGTTGGTTACATTGGTGTGGGTCTTGTTGGTGTGTGGAGCACTTCCGTCATTACTTCTCCTCATGCTGTTGGAGTTGGCATCGCAGGTGGAATCTGCGGCAGCGGCTTGCACACTGTTTGTTGTAGCCTTATTACTAGCATTAGTTGTTGTAAGGTTTGTGGTTGCGACCGGCGCATTGTCGTACGAACGTATGGGCTTCTCCTTGAGGCTCTTCTTGATTTCGTTAAGCAAACGATTATAAAAATCGCACGTGACATCATGAGTTTCGGTCTCACTAACCTCTACGTCTTCCTCGTAACGATTGGAATAGGAATTTGTTGACGTGGGCTGTGTATTTGTGGGAGTGCTTTCAACGCTTGTGGAACTAGTGGCCACTGCGCCCTTTTGGTAATCCTTTTTGCCAATACTGCTGTTGTTGTTGTTACTCTTTTGTTTCTTCGACTGAGAACGTGAGCTTGCATTGCTCGAATAGTTCGAACTGGAGGCTGTGGTGGTGGGCGTGGAGTGATCAGTAGTGCTGGAGTCAGCCGATTGCTCCAGCTTCGATTGGGTGAGCGGAATTTCAGCACTAACCGCTTCCTCATTGGCACAGTTGATAGTCAAGCTGGCAATGTTGCGCAAATTGATAGTTCCATTGCAATTATTTATGGTGATTTTAGGTTTGAAGCGTGGCTTTCGCGATTTGGGTTTGCTACTATTGGGCTGCTCGACACACGTGCTTTTCGAAGCATCGCCACTACGGCCCAAGCTTGAGACCGCATCAGCTATGGATGATTCCAACTCATCGTTTAGCTCTTCAAGATTTAGAGGTGGTACATGCGTCTCTCGCTTAGTTTTCGCTTTGCGAATTAATTCTTTGGCTTCCTGTAGTGTAATGTTGATGATGGACTTGTTCATCAGTTTGGCATTATCCTCCACTAGTGATTTGTTACGTGAAAAATCCACCACAATGGCCTCTGGTTGCTCTTCCTCGTCGAGATCGTAGTAGGCGATTTTACCATCCTGCAGACATTTGTACATAGTATCATGATCATCGACAGGTGCAATATAATCCTCGTTACGCAAAAACACATCCTGCAGTGCCTGCAATTGAATATTGTCTAGCTGAAAGCGCCCAAAGCTGCGAATGGATGACAGTAATTCCTCCTCCTCGCTGGTGACAAATCGCACTTCGCCGCTTTCTTCCCAGCTGCTGGTGCCTGGACCGCTGTGTTCATCGCTGCGTGATGTTTTCAGCATTTGTTGTTGTTGCTGTGTATTCGCAATGGCCTCCAGTTGCCGCAACAACAGTTTTTCACGCATATGCAGTGCAGCCCGCAACTCATTGAATTTTTGTTGTACATTAGCTTTGACCTGCAAAGGATGTCAGGGTTCACAAAAAAATACGCATACATTATACATACATATGTATACATGTAAATACAAGTTTAATTTGGGCGTGTGCTATTTTATTTACCTGCTGCAAGTTCTGCTCAGCATTTTTCTCCATGTTGTTGATGTCGGTTTACTAATAAACTACGTTAACCTAAATCTAAATGCGTGATGAGAGTTTTCCTAATGACTTTTCAGCGCTAAACTCGCATTTTCATTAATTCTGCATTTTGTTTGATCGAAGATACAACAGCTGTGCATTCATTTTGCTTTTAGGTGTTTCCCAGCACTATTTGTGGCCAGTGTATGCACATCATATAATGGGTATTACTTTGATTTTTGCAGTGTGCTTAGCTTTGGCGCGTAACTTTTATGATCACACTTTGAGTTCACTAAAATATTACCAGATAAAAACCTTCGCATAATTAAAAATAATAACGAAACTATTGCAGTTACTAACTGTTCAAAACAATGAAGTTCACATGTTTGATGTTGTTATTGTTTTATGTGGTCGCATCTTTGAAGTACAAACGCGCGCTTCGCGCATTCTGTTCAATGCCCTCGTATTTGCGACACGTTGTCGTTCGTATCTTAGTCAACACTGACGACGTGCAGTGCTCGTGTGGCTGTTGCCGTGACTGGTGGCGGAGTATATTTGCACGGAACAGTTTTAAGATTTCAGTTGTCGTAAACGGTTGCTACGCGCCAGCAGCGAGTTCTTGATGATGCGCTAAATTTGAAACCAATATTAAAAACTCAAGTACTTTGCCAAAACCAACATTTTTAAAAAAGCAAGTACAGTGTTTAAAAATTATGGGATAAAAAAAAATACCAAAACACACTCTGTCACTTTCAAGCCGATGCGTCGCCGCTACGTCGCTGCCGCCGCCGCCGCGCCGCGTCAAGTGCTTGATTTTGTAATTGTTTTTGTTACATTTCTTTGCTGTTTCTTTCCAATTGCCTTGCACAAATTTATGTTTGTTTTGTGTTTATATAAAAGCGCAGGCAGCGATATGAAATATAATGAAATCGTAACAATTGCATTGACTTTGCTGCGATACAGATGCAGATATAACAATGAAATTTTTTAAGGTTTAATAACATTTGTGTGAGCGAGCAGACGAGTCATCATCAGTTATTATTGTTGTTGTTGTAGCTTGCCCCACAACTAATTTGAACTGCCGCTCTATCTACGGCTGAGTGTGCTTCTGTGGGTGTGTGTGTGTGCCAGTGTGTCTGTGTCGTCTCGCAGTGGTGTTGCTTGTGTTGGGTGTAATTGTGTGCGCACAAACACCGCGCGCGCGTGCCGTGACTTTGTTTATTGAACAAATGCCATTTGTATTTGTATTTCAAAAATGCAACTCACTTAAACATTTATTGTGCATGTCAATTACTGTCTGTCCTAAGTTACAACACAACAACAACTACTACAATAATGCTAGCTAGCAGCGTCAGCAACGTGCTGTGCAAAAACACAAAAGCAAAAAAGTAACACCAAACACACACAAATAAAGCAAATAAAAAAAATAAAAAGGCAGAGAGCGAGAGAGTGCGAATTGTGTCAATGCGGCAGTCGTCGCAAAAACAGCAGTAACACTAACAACAACAACACATCAGCGGCAGAAAGCGATGACGCCAAATATTTAAAAATACAACATTTTAAAAACAAGTAGGCATAATGCACATGGAAATTTGTTGTTTATGTTTTATAATTGATATTTTGAAACCTATTTTAATTGGATTTGTGCTTGAATATCGCGTTGAACATTGCGTCGAATTCGTTGCCGCCGTCGTCGGCGTCGTTTCTGACGCTGCAGCGTCGGCATTTCGTGACGTCGTTTCGTGACGCCAAATAACTGAATAGCTATAATTTGATTAAAATTACAGTTAGAAGCTGGTTTTCGCTTTTTGTCTGGTCTAGGGGTCTTTAACTGCTTCTCGTTTATCTGTTTTTGGCCGAGTCTGTCTATATTTTCTATAAGTCGTCGCTCCGCCTGTCTTTCTGTCAGTTAGCCTGTCTGCTGCTGCTTTGCACAGTTGCTTTTGTTATCAACAAAAAACCAGTTTGCCTTAACTACTAAAAACTTGTTGTTGTTGTTGTTGCTCATACTGCGTCTGCCACTTTTGGTTGCTTTTGCTTTTTAAATATAAATTACCTCACTTTACACATTTTTTTATTTAAAAGTCTCATCTAAGTGACCCGCGCGCGTCATTAAAAAATCAGCCAGTAAGAAAAATATATGTAATAACAAAAGCGTGCTACCGCTTTTTACTTGCACATTTTATAGTAATTACTTTATTAAAATAAATAATAATAAATAATAAAATATTCACTTTCTTCCAGTTATTGAAAAATTAAAAAGAAAATAACATAAAAGAATCTAACAAAAAAATATATATAAATATTCATAAATGTCGCGCTTTTTAAATTTGTCTTACGTGAAATAAAACTAACTTACCAGTCGATTCAACTGTTTCAGTTATAAAGCTTACAAATTTACATTATCAACTGTATCTTCAACTGCAACGCCAAAGTCGTCAGTCATTGTAATTTCAATTTCATTCGTGTTCAAAATTCAAAAGTGTTTCGAGGTCAACGCGCTTGTTGCTTTAGCACCCGCCATTGTTAAACATTTTTTCGACATACTTCAAATTTGGGTAAGTGGCTGTTTATTAAAAATAAATTGGTGTTATCAACGTTAATATGCATAAACTCGTCTTATTTACGTTCAGTTAGACGCTAGGCATATTTTACATAAAACTGAATCCCCAGTGCCCTAATTTGATATCATTAGAAAATGAAAACTAAGGTATGAAGATTTGTATAAATCCTGCAGCTTGAAGTTTATTCACATTAATACTATGTTGTTATTCAAAACAAATCACATCTTACTTTACAATTAAAAGTCCAAAATTGATCCAGATGCAGATGTTATTTTGTTTAATCAAAATTTAAAGTTTACCTGAAAAGCTCTCATTTTCTCCATAGTTAGAACATATTCATGGGGTAAATTTTAAAAACAATTTTAAAAAATCCGGTATTTATATGAAAAGCGTTTAATCATAAAAATTGCCAAAAATATGTCTGTTAAACTTTTTTGCTGTGTTACAAACGTTATGTCAAATTAAATAGGATTTAGAAATGAATAGCACGACTACGTGCCCGAGGTCGACGGTTTTAAAATTCTTATGCGGTTTATTCAGCTCTTAAGGCCATCAGCGCCTGTTGTTGTTAACTGCAGTGTAAATGTTTGAGTGCTCCAGTTCAATTTCTTGAGAAAACAGCTTGTTTTCATATCAACGCTGTTAGTACGTGTTCTTATCGTTTCATTTATATAAAGGCTTTGATAAATCTGATTTTATTTTTAGTGCCAAACAATAACAATTTAAATCTATATAATTTATTTCTGAACTTGTGACTATGAATATTTAAGGGAGGCCATTTATACTTCGGAATGAAGTCGATTTTTATGTGCAGTCGGGAGTTATTTATTAATCAATTTCACATGTATGGAGTGGTAAAGCGTAAGTTTAGGCTGTGAGACTTACATTTATCGAAAACTTAATACCAGATACAGAGACGTTGAAGAATAGATAATGTTTAGGTCTAATGTAAAACTGCATCACATCCTATTTCCTTTTCTCATGAAACCATCTAGTAGAATCGATTAGGCTCGTGAGTTGTTTTTGCTTTCAGAAATATTATTAACTAAGTCCGCATAATAGCATAGAAACTTATAATGGGATAAGTAATAATTTTCCATTGTTTGAAATTCTGCTCAATTACATAGTAAATGAATCATAAAATCTGTGCAAAATACACTATTTTTTTCTATAAAGTACAATTAAATGCAGACTAATTATGAAATTTGCTTTAATTGTAGTGTAATTAATAGGGGCAAAAACAAAACCAATTGAAATATAAACCGCACAAAACTGTCAATTCGGTGCGGTGGCTACGTTTTTTATTGTTGATTTGTTGCCAGCTGTAGGACACACACATATATATTTTGCAATTGGCAAATACAGAATTATGTCTGCACAATATTATTATTTATGGCATAACTTTAATTTGTATCAAATAGTATACAAAGTCTGTGGAATTCGCTTAAATATCACATTGGTCCTAAAGCATTTTTTGCACAATCCTAAACGCAATTCGAAATGGCGTTGTGCAATAAATACCTATAAATAGTGCCATAATAAATTTGTTTGACAACTAAAATAGGTACATCCATCTTTTAGTTTTATTATCAGGTCAACCGATTTTGATAATACTTGAGATTGTGCTAAAACATTGCAATTCACTAAAAATTTTGAATTGTGGTGGTCCATATAGATTTGTTTCGTAACTTACATTTTATAATACCTTCTTGAACTTTGGTTCAGGGTATACAGATTGCGTTCCCAATCTATAAAATGAGGTCATATAGTATGTAGACTCACTTAATTTGCATTTCGAATTTCGTTTCGACTTGATTTAGTTTTTATTTGTCATTTTACATATGTTTGATAAGTTTTAGGTGTTGTTGATTAACAATTGGTCTGATTTGCTTGTGTAGATTTATAATTAGTCTCATTTGTGTACGTTGTGAACCGTGTGATATGTACATGGGTGTCTGAAGAATAATATTGTGTGTGTAGCGCATATTTTCGTGTTATTCCAGGTCTCGTTTTTGAGGCCGTTCCGGCCGATGCAACATATCCTAGTTATGTATTTCTCAGGTGGGCGAGAGGTGCTCTAAGGGAAGCAACGATAGTAATTACTGAAGTAATTACCCCATCAGGTCACCATTGATTTTGGGCAACATTTGGAGCGATCAGCGATTTGAATGAAAGCCACAAGAAATTCCTTGCTGATAAGCTAAATTATCTCTTAAGAAATAATCGTTGATGTCATTCATTCTCAACCTTTCGTCCATGTTATTGGCGGCTCCCATGGCTTCTTTTTTCACAAAAAAAGTAGGTATTTAATATCATACACTTCTATTTCCGAAAAATGGTCGCCAAAGCTGAGACAGGCCTGAACATCATGAATTAAGTTCGGGGTAGTATAACATATTGATATACTGTTTAACACATTGCATAAAATTGATCAGTTTTCCATAGAACTTTTTCATGTCGCGCTCACCCAAAGCCCCGGGTGGCTGGGGCAAACGATGGGTGTCTATCGTGTGACGCATAGCTTCACCGGCTTTCCCCAAGGGAAATGAGCCTGGATTTATATGCGAGTGGAAAATCCTTTCTACACCAAACTTCACCGAGATCTTGCAAATGGAGACCTCGGCTGGAAAGAAGATGTCCGTATTAACCGACTTTGTGAAATAGTTGAAGCTTATAAAAATAAACTTTAAGGACTCCAGTCCAGGCCGATGTTTTCCATCTAAAATCATTCGATTAATGTTGCGCTTCATACGCTCCAACTTATTCTCGACATCTTTCTTCAAACGATCCGTAACACCTTCGATCGGAACACTTTTTCAATTAAGAACCTCGCGTTTGCCTTTTCATGATAGGGAGCACGCTCATCTCCAGTCATCTTCTTCCATAACGGGTCGCATAATTTTATTGATTCCTTAACTGATACCTGATGATGCTCAGGATTCGCTTTACGCGTTTCATTAACAAAACTCATGAAGCCGTTAAATCTCTTAGGTGGTGCCATTTTACTAGAAAGTAAATAGATTTATTTTTATGGAAACTTTTCGAACGAATACAATGCAAATTTTTTCAGCTGTACATTTTTAATGAAGCAACTATTTGATTCAAAATACTTACGCAAACAATTCTTAAATTTGTAGCACAGCGAGCGTTTCCAAGCGTTTTCCAAGCTACTAAACTTGACAATAGTTCATCAAAGGCCACTAGTGAAACAAAAAAATATTCAATTTCAATACAGAAATCGAGAGAGTGACTCTCGAGGTTGCTCCAACGAATGCGATAAAAATTGTAATTTTTCCAAACTACTCAACTTGACAATTGTAAAGTTGAAAAGCAAAGGCAACTGGGGACAAAATGCTCTCAATTGAATCGAAACAAATTTGAAATTTTATACCGAATCAAGAGCAAAACAATTTTTAACAAAATTTGATAACAACTAAGCTATTCCAAATAATGCAATGAAAATTGTAATTTTGCCAAGCTACTAAACTCGATAGTAGCAGAGTTAAAATGGAAAGCCAACTATGTGACGAAAAATAGGCAAACGATACAAATTAGAATTGAATTAATAAACAAAAGCATTTGTTAGCATCCGTATTTACCATTTTTTGAATTGAATAGCAAGGTCAGCTGTATAGCGTATAATATAACATATCATTTATTATGCAATACCTATAGATATTATACATCACTTTGACCTTGGTTTTATTTGCTGACAATAAATTTGTAAAATGAAAAGCAGAATATTTAACAAAAAAAATTCTTTTATATATTTGTCATTTCAAAATCAGTAGCAAGGCATTATTTTTGTTAAGCTTTTAATTTCGAATAAACAGTTAATCATCTCTTTCGACGCATTTAAGCTTATACATAAGTGTTTGGACCATTTAGGCGCTGAGCTACCTATTGCTTTGTACGAAGCATGGTAGTATTGTTATTTATTTGCTGCCATTGACAAATCGTGCTAAGTTTGTCCTTAGTACTTTCCTCCATGCTACGTTTTGCTGCCCCGTTCAGTAATGTTGCCAGTGTTGGACAGTGGAAAAAGGTAGGTTTGTTTGCATGTTTTTCTATGGAGATTCAGGAGCTTTTGTCCAAGCGCTATGCGTTTCTCGAGCAGATAATGGACGCCTGCCTGCGTATAAAGCTTCCTAACTTAAGAGTTTCTTCCCCGGCCTTCCTCTCGTCTGGAAGATACTGCAGTAATCAATACCTTAGTTTAAATAATGATAAAAATGACATTTTAATATACTATACTACAATTGGTTAGTAATGGTATGAAAGAATTTGTGCTTCGTTTATATACTCTTACATAAAATTAAGTTATTTGCTTGTGGGACCATATCTATAATCAGTCAAATTTGACTGCTATTTTTCATAGTTCTTAAGTACATCCACTTGTCAGAGTATGATTTCGATCGACTGTACCTTTGCTGTTTGTTCGGCCAATATGCATTCATAATAATGTTGGCAAATTTTACTTCAATTGCTGCCGAATGCAATGAAAAATCAAAACGAAAATTGTCAAATATATGTATGGATGTGTGTGTTGGTATGAACTCGTACGTTGCAATGTGTTTATTGGAAATATGCACTACATATACCATAAACTGAAAACGTTAAATAAAATGTTTGGCAATAAAAATGTGGATTCGTTTTTGTTATTTATTTTAAAATAAACTTTTGACATTCTGAACTTTGCTGGCATCTATGTAAGTGGTTTTCACAAAAATGTGTTTTGCCAATGGCCGACAACATTTTGACTTATAAATTGTCACAATTTTTATTGTCGCCATTGCAGTTGTTGTCGTCATTGTTGTTGTTACTATAGTGGTGCATAGATTTGCATGACAAAAGCAAGGCAAAGCGTTGTGTTAGTTTTAGTTTGTTATATTTAGCTTTAAATATTTAAGTTTTTTTTTTCATAAATTGTTGACATTGCTATTGCCACTAAAAGTTCTACACACATACACGTATATGTATATGTTTGAACTGTTTTTTCCCCCTTAATTGTTAATTGTATTTTCTGTTGATTCTGTTATCTCATGCAATTAAACAAAGTCAAATGTTGGAATTAGCATTTGTGTGCATTTTGGGGCTGATATAAAAATCTTGTTAATTCAATTCGAACACATGAACTCAAACCCATTACTAATACGCCTTGTAGAGCGCAGATCATGTGCACAACATGTTTCAATCTAACCTTGGCAAGGTTTTTACAATCGCGTTATCCATGGGGGAAGCATTGAAGAGCACATGTTGAGAAAATAAACTAGTTTTGTTAATTAGGAAAAAAAATAATGTTTATAAATCTCTAGTTGATATGTTCCAAATGTATTGATTTATTATTTATTTTTAGCATTGCAACACTTAAAATATGAAAATAATATAGCTGGCTGTTCATGTCAAAACCTAACTTTCAAATAAATTAATAAATATAAAAGATATTTTGGATTGTTTCATTTAACAACATTGTTTTAAATATAGTGTATGTCTACTATCTATCTATAATCGCCACATGTGCACCACCTAATTATTAGAAATAAACGATAATAACAAACGCAAGGAAATGCTAAAATGTTGTTTGTCAGTTTGTGAACTGCAAGTCAAATTTGCATTTTGAATATGTTTGGTCAACCAGACGTATGTCAGACACACAGATTTTATTTTTATAATTATCAGAAAATAAAATATTAAAATATTAACCACAATCAAAGCTTTTAAGCTTTATTATCAAATTTTTAAAATGACAACTCTGTACAAAAATTAGTTCATGTTAAACTTAACTTGGTTAACAGATAGGTGATGGACTGTATGTATTTTATTTGATAGTCTTTATCAAGTATCTTATCTATTGCTAGTTAATACTTACACAGAAAAAACAATATACCCCTACACTTATGGAATATACCCTTATTTGTGGGTAGAACTGATAGATTCTTTTATTAATAGTTGGTTTTGCATTTACATATGTATTTGTTCCAAGACTATCGACTTTTCAATTAAATAAATAAATAAAGGAGCCAGGAATTTCTGTCATATCCTCTAATATTTGGCACATTCTCCTATTTATATTAATTTAGCCTATTTACAGGCCATCTTTGCTTTTATTTTAGGTACTTTATGTTTTTAGCCCTTTCAAGCAGCGCCAGCGCACCATAAAAAAGTAAAGGGTAATAAGCGACTCGAGCTTAAGCTTATTTACGTTAATGCTGGCTATCGTCGTCACTGTTGTTGTTATTATTGCTGCTGTTGGTGTTGTTGTCGTTTCTGACTGACCTTTCGTTTGTTTGACTGCCCTGCGGGTCATGAGCAACTTGCTTGTCGTTTATAGTTCTTTTTTTTTTAATGTTGGAACGAGACTCCGCGTGTTTAGCTTTTTATTTTTTCTTCTGCTTTTGTTTTTATGCCTCACCTTCGTTTCATTCGCGTGTTTTTGAGTGCGGCTTTGACACGCCTGTTTAGGAGCCCCAGACGACCCGTTCGTCCTTCTTTCTTCATCCCCGTATGGTCGTGAGTCATGCAAAAAATTGCTGTGTTGTCCCTTTTTGTTAACCTGCGCGGTCCTTTGTTTTGTTTTAGTATTTGAATTATGAATTTTTTATATAATTTCTTGTGTTTTTATTGGTTGTTGTTTGGTCTTGTTTTTATTTTCTGCGTACCAAGTTTGTGTTGCTGTTTTTGTTATTGTTATTATTGCTGCTGCTGCTGCCTGTTGTCGTTTTTATTAATAAGTCCCGGGCGTGCGCTTGTAAACAGCTTTAGCGCATATCATTTGCAAATGTTTTTATGACAATGCCGGTCCGTGGGTTTATGTCGCTAGTGTCACCAGTTATATGTTTTTGTTATTGTTCTTGTTGGGAAAGGTAATAGCCTTAAGGCTTCGTGAGCAAGGTAGATTTCGAAGCCATTCGAGATTTCTGCAAATCGACTGCATCGACCCCAGTTATCTGCTTTATATGTTCAAGCTATCACAGTTGTTTGTTTGCGATTGGGCGCCGCTTTAGGGCGTATTGAAATAATCAATTTGGACTTTTGCGCTATCAAAAAAAAAAAAAAATAAACACCGCTTTTCTTAAAAATATTTATCTAATAATAATAATGTTATGTTAAAATAAGATAGCATAACCTAATTTGCATAGAGTTGTTTAAAGTTCGTAAGGATCAAATGGTATAGGTATTTCAAGCAAATGCTTGTATCCGGCTACGTATGTATATGTATTGCTGTTATTGTAAATGGCCAAATTTTAGCTGTGTGTATTTTGAGAAACAATAAACTAAGATCATGTGTGTTTCGTGGAGTGTTACTTTCCTTAATCAACTGAAAATGGCCACTGATTTGCTAAAGTATACAGTTTACAATTCACATTAACTATTGCGCTTATAAACATTTGAATGAAAAAATATATAAAGTTAATTCTATTTGTTGGCAAAAACTTGACTCTTAATTATCGTAGCTAAATAAATTAAAATAAACTGTTTCGTGCTCTGAAATCAACAGCAACAAAAGCACAGAACGCAAAGCAAATAATAATTTGTAATTTAAATGGAAATAAAATAAACCATTAACTTGCCAAAGCAACTAAACTAAATAAAAATAAATAAAGAGCACATTAAATTCATTAATTAGAAGGCAAAAGTATTTCAATTAAAAAACTTTGTGGTGACGCCCCCACACACAAATACGTTCATACCCACAAAAAAGCTAATTTGAGGCTAAAACGCAACTTGGGTCTCGATTGTGCAAACAATGTTGCCAAGAGTAGGGCAGAAGTGAGCGAAAGTAGTGGGAAATCTAATCAGAAAATTGTTTAAATAACAACAGCAACAATGAACCTTGATTACTGATAATGATTACTGATGTGTTAGTACGACGACTTCGGAGCCACACATACTTGATAATGGCCTGACAACGACAACTTGCTCATAACGATAATGTGTGAATGTATGTGTGCTGTGTTTGGGTGCCTGATAAGCCACCTACACGTATTTATGCCGCGTTCCCCAGATATTAAACCAACAAAATGCCAAGCACGGGAGAATAGAAAGCAAAACAAAACAAAAAAAGACACGCAACAGCGTAAAGCAATCGTAGGGCAAGTTTGTCAAGTATATGCGTCAGCTGGCGGCAGTTATCGGCCAGACTTAATATATGAGTATGATGTATACATATACGATATGTTATCCATGCCTTAGTCCCACAATCAACGTGTTAATCAAAAGCAATTCACAGATGGGTTAATCAATTGCGAATGCAATTTCATTAAGTGCTCTTTTGTATTCCTACCCACGAAAAATAAAACAAATGCGTGTAAAATTGACATTTGTAGCGACAAAATGTTTGCTAAAAGAAATGCATATATCGTCAAAATGCATAAAAAACAACAAAGAGAAATGGGAAAAAAATAACAAAGCCGCGCATAAAAATTTGCAATGCAAACAATGTTGGCGCTGCAACTTATGGAAGAGAGATGGGTATGAAGATGGCGCCGCATAAAAATGCAAATATATTGCAAGGAAACAGCCAGTCGAACACGAACTGCATTGCGTATACGCGATATTTTCATTGTAGTTTTTGGTGTTTCGGCAGCTGTTGTTGTTGCCATCCAATTCACAGCCAGCTAGAAATCAATCTCGCCTGCAAGATAGAATGCGAGATAGACGGGCGGTAAGATAGACGGATGGACATGAAAGCAATCGGAATTTTGTGCAAATTGAAACACACAGCTATACGTATGGATGTTAGCGTGTGTGCTTGAAACAGAAAAAATTAAATAGGTAAAATGTCAGGGATTTGAAGGAGAGCAAAAACTGGAAGTGGTCTTTGTGGGGAGGGCCAACAAACAAAGCCCATGCAAACAAATCTGTTACTGCAAAACACGCATTGTGTGCCGCACGCCATAAAGTATGCAGCGAATAGTGCTTTCCCATAGCCCTACACCCAGAGCCCTGGCCCCAACTGACCCCAACCGATCCAACCCTCCTACAGTTCCAATTGTCGTCGGCAATGTAAACAAAAAAAAAATCAAGCTAACATAAAAAACAATTGCATAAATGCCAAGTCGAAGTCGATTTACCCTTCGATAAACTATTAAAATCAAATTGGTTATTAATTTGAATTAAAGAAATAATGGGTAATCAAATTGACAACAAGTTTCTAAGTTAGTTTAGGCCAGAAATATTAAATAAATAATAAATGGTTAACCAACCATACAGATTGCATGCATTTCAGACAGTCATGAAAATGATTTAAACTAGTACATACATAAAACTAGAACATACTTTTATAAATTAATAGACAAATATTTAATACAAGTACATATGTATGTATATACATTTTTTCTTTATAAATTTGTTGATGTAATCAACATAGAATTATTTCTTGGTATAGTATAGTATATATATATAGTATATGCCTGTCTGTATAGTAAGTGTATGTACTTCTGAATATTTGTTCCTAATTATATTTTCGCCACTTTTTTTTTTATCAAAGTATGTATGTATGTATGTGTTTTTTGGTATTTGCTTTGATAGTGATATTTACACTTAAACACACTTTATTCAACACTAATCTTTTTTTCAGGTATCACCTTTATGATAATTATTTAAATTAGTCAGCAGCTCATTTTCCATTTCAGGTATGTAGCTGAATATAATTTAAACTATGATGTGTTCTTATTTGTAAAAAAAGGCCACTTATTGTTCTTACAAAAACTTGAGCTAATATGTTTTTGTAAGAACAATAAGTGGCTTATTTATACCCGTAGATCAGCCTACATATGTATGGATATTTTCTGAAACGTATATATAATTTTTGAAACCATTTGTCATGTTAGTAGTTTCTGCTGTTTTTAAGATCTAATATATTTTCTTCAGCTTCTTCTACATTTATCTGATTATTTGTTTATATTCTTAAGTTTTCTTTCTTTATTATTATGTTTGTGTTAAAAAATTTTCTTTTTTGTTTTTGCGATTTGCAGTACTAACTAATGATTTCACTTTTTGAGTTGTTTAAATCTTGCTAATTGTTTATTAATTACGAAATTCAAAGATTTCCAATTCAATGCGTCTTAAGTGGTGCAGTTAAATAAAAGGAAACAGGCATTATTCAAATTCACAATAAAAGTATTTAGGAAGCTTTCAAATTAAGTAAAAACGTAGTCTATTATTTCAAAATTAGATACATATATGAGATATATTTTTCAATTTTCAAGCCAAGAGTAAAAATCTAAAACGCAAAGCTAGATGAACGGACGCGTGGACAGAAGAATGGTTAAACGAATAGGGAATCCAACCGATATGACGAAGTTGAATATGAAATTATCGAGGATTAGTGCAGCGAGTTACATATCTTATAATAATTCAAAGATACCCTCGCAACCTTTAGTTATTGGGTCTAAAAATGTAAACGCTGCGCTTTTGTTAGCTCAGGCCGCATCAACAAAACAACGTGTCCATGTGCGTGTTTACTTGTGTGTGTGTGAATGTGTGTGCGTTCATGCATTTTTCCAATTGCTCGCCATCGCTGTTGGCGTGGCTGCCTGTCCAGAAACGCCTGGCACTCCCACTGCTTGTGATTCATTCATAGCTGGTCGTTCGCTGGCTTGCTCGCTCGATAGGTCCGTCAGAGCGTCAGTTTGTCGGGTGGCCTGTCGAAATGCCCAACCGCATTGGCATTGCCATGCATCACAGTTGAGGCAGAGAGGCAGCAACCAATTTGAGCCAAGTGGCTGGGGTACGTTAAAAAAAAGCAGCTACACAGACGCTCGCACACACACAAACACTTGCATAGCTTTTGTGCCGGATAAAAATAACAATCAATTTATTTGGCTATGCTGCAAATTGTTGCCCCACTTGCCGCGTGCATTCGATCATCATTCAGTCAGCCGGTGGTAGCCATCAATATCATCATCATCGTCAATGTCGTCGTCGTCATCATCAAAAATCGTTGATTGCAACAAAACAAATTGCATTTTAAGGAGATTACGCGCAGCCAGCGTCTATCTAGACGACTGTAAAGGCAAGCAAGGGGGGATGGAAGGAGGATTGGCTGGCAATGTTGAAAAAATGTTCAGCCTTATGTGATGTTGTATTTGCTTTTTTCCGCTTTCTGTATGACTGTGTATGTGCGAATGTGTGTGCGAGCGGGTTATTAATAAATCATGGCGCATTAGTATTGATTGGCTAGCAGCGGAAAAAAAGAGAAAAATGCACTGCATACATTTTTGCAGCGCATTCAATGCATTGCCGTGCTGGCACTGATGAATGCATTTGTCAGCTATAGATTTGTAGTTATAGTCAAGTGTGTCTCGGCGTGTGTTCTCTTAAAAGGTGTTCAGCATTGAAGCTCCAGCTGTAACGCATAATTGATTGCATTCGCATAATGCTATTAAGTGTAGCTTATGCGACTACATTCGTAAATAGGGTCTAAGTTGTAGCCCTGGCCCCCATAATGTGCCCTTAACCTTTGTGTGTCAAGTGGAAGCATATATCTTGGAAGCTGTCTGGCATGACTTTTTAAGCTAGAAAACACAAATTTTCTTTGATTTACCTTCAATACATTTTTTCTTCAGGACTAATGAAATGAATTTTATTCGGATAAATGGTTTGGAGAAAACAGGTTATTAATAGAATAGGTTATCAGCATCTTGCTCGATTTACGTTAAAAACTTTAAAATTGAAAAGCATAATAGGAAGATACAACTTAGCTACTTAGCTTTCGTGATTGCTCAGCCTGACGGGAAGGATAAAAACAGTATCTAATCTATGACTTGGAATCGAAATTTATTTAAATCAATTAAATAAATCAATTAATAATAATTAAGAATTAGTGCTTCGATTCTGTGTTTTTTTCTTGGAAAACCTTTCAGTTTCAAGAAATATAAAAATAAACAATTACTCATAAACTTCCATTTTAAATAATATTTAATGAGTGTATAGCTATTGGCACTTTGTAAGATTAGACATGCCATAATTTGCCATTTTATGTTCTATCTGGTGCTTAATGTCAACACGAGACAATACGTTTTATCACACCTTCATTTATGCACACCTTCCCTTATGCATTCTACTACACGACCAACTCAACTAAGCACAACTGCTGCTCTCTGGCACTTAATGCGCCATTCACACGCATCTCCATGATTGTCACCCACCTGGCACATCCACCTGGCCATGTGCTCTCTCTAATACGAGTATGTCTATTATAAGCTCATCGTACTCGCTCTTTAAGCGACTTATGCAAAAATGGCAATAAGCAGACGAAATGTGTGGCAGCTTCTAAAATGAATTATATCTAATCATTCATATGCCAAAAGCGATGTGAGTGATTATGACAACATTCTATGGGTCTACAAATATGCTACATGTAGATCTCACTGAATAAGTAGGTGGGAGGGCATGGGTGTCTGAGACAGCTGCGACCGATAAGTAAGACAAATGTGTTGTGTGTGTGAAATCTATAAAGCTATGTGCTTTATACCTACATGCGCATACATAATGTGAGACATACGCCAAAATGAGCAATCCTGCTAAGTCAGCAGGCAGGCAACTTGTCTAGCATTGCGTATACGCAACATATACATTTTGCCAAAAATCAGCTGCTATGGCTGCTTTGGTTTATTAAATTTATGTTATAAAATTTTTTAATGCACATTTTGTTGGCATGTTGGGTGTGCGTGCCTGAAATATTTTGTGCTGCAAATTTTTTGCTGAGCAGCTCGCGCGCTCTGCACCCTTGATTGTATGCCATTTGCCTCCTTATATATATATTTCTTTTTTTGCTACTATCGTGACATATTTTTTCAATGCTGTACATCACCTGAACTTTTTCACTCAGGCTGTTACTTAAAAGTTTGCGCGCCCAACACAACTATTTATTCTAGTGTTGTGCTGTGATTTTTTTACTATCTACTGCCTCAGCCTTATCCTCGCTTGCCTAGTTTCGCTATTCTGTGCAACTTTGCCGCTATGGCAACAATTTTAGTGCCACACACAAACTTTGGCTTGACAAACATTTTTACTTTGCGTGCAATGGCAGCTATGCAAAGCTTTTGTAGTAGTTGTTGTAAGCTTTACTGGTATTTGGTTTTACATTGGGTCGCACCTTTAACTTGGCAACTCCAAGGCTGGTTGACAAATATTGACTAACCACCTGGGTAGCTGCCTTCTGGCCCTTTTGGGCATCAATTGAATCATCAAAGGTCAAATGTTTTATTTCATTCTATTTCGTTTTCGTTTTCAATTTGCCGAATCTCATATTGCCCATGGCCCACGTTTTGAAATTGACAATCGAAGGATTTTCCTCAATATATGGTGCCTTGGTACATATATGGGTATGTGTGTGTTTGTGTGCGTGTCACATATACTTGTCTGTTAGCCTCCCATTATATTCTGTAGTAGCCACATCAACGATGATGCTGCCAAAGCCACTGTGTGGTCACTTTTGTGTTGATTTCTTTTTATGTTCTTTTAATATTCTGACTCCTTTTTGCCGCTACCTCAACAAAGCTGTCGTTGCCATCAGCGCTATCGCCATCGTCATTGGACCTCCCAGATTCTTTTGTTCGTTGACCACACACATAAACTGCTAAAGATTCTAGTTCATATTCTTTCTTTGTAAATGTGGTGGTAGATGACGTCGTTATTATCGTTGTATGAGTCGGTTGTGGGTGCGTGACCTAATGCTGAACAAATCTCAAAAACGCAACGAATGTATGGTATCTTAATAGCGGTATTAAGATACCATAGTTTACTTCCGTTTAAGCTTTAAATATAAATAAAACATGGAAACGAGAATATACTATAATGTTACGCAATTTGAAAAGTCTATCACCAAATGCTTATAAAGTTATTAAACTAATTCGGATATGAGTGTAAACTTAACTTCAAATAAGTATAATAAAAGCGGGCTCACATGATATAAAATCTTAGTATAAAATCTCTTAATCCATGATAGATGTATAACTTTATTTTTGTAAATATACATGTATTCAACACTTCTGATGCTCATTATAATTTTAAAAAGACTTAAGAATACAGATATTTTAATATGTTTTTATAGATGGCTATTATTCTGCGTAGCAGATAAGAAAATTATTTACAGACAATGTTTTTTTTGTTTTTCTCAAACAAATAACACGATAATTTGATAAGAAAATTGGTGTGAATGCCCTAACATATAAAACGAAAGCTAGAGCTGCTCAGCCATAATTTAATAGTTAGTCATCGTGTCATTTTTAATTCACAATTTATTTTATGTGAGTGCACTGTTGCAAAGCAAGCAATGATTGAGCATTCTCAAACTAAATGTGTAGACAAATATACGCTATATAGGTTTATGCTTTTATACATAAAACCATGCACAAAACATAAGATTTTTGTTTTCAGTACGGACTATAAATAGCTTTAACAAAACGCCAAACCCCGTTTAATAGACACCTACATATTATAAATGAAATATTATATATAATCAAAAAATTGCTAAGCAATAATGTACATTTAATATAATATATACCTATCTCACAATCGTTGGAAATGTCGTCTAAATTATAGTATTAATGATCGAATCGTTTAGAATATTCGAGAACTTTCTATAGTCAAAAATTTGATCAATTACTACAGGAATTCAACTAAAATA